CACTCGGGAGGCAGAGGCAGGTGAGTTTGAGGCCAGCCTCATCTACATTAGCAAGTTCCAGGCCGGCCAAGGAGTCGGAATGAAACCTTGTCTCAAAAAAATATATTTAAAAGATTAAAACGGCCAGGGCAGTATGCTTATAGGATTAAAAATTAGAAACACTCAGATAAATTAGATCATGATGGCAGACATGATACATGAGATGCATACAACACAGTTCACACGTGAGATCCTGGAATACCAAATCGCAAAACAACTCAGCAAGGAACACAGGTGAGTTCCACGCAGGTTCACATATAAAACATAGTAAAAGGCAAAGAAAGGAGAGCATGCTAGCACTCACATCGAGTTCTAAAATGAGGAAAAGCTAACAACAACAACAACAAACACATAACTCACACAGAGATACACATCCGAAACTTCTCTCTCTCCTTTCTCTCTCCCTCCCTCCCTCCCTCCCTGTTTCTCTCCTCTCTCTGTCTCTCTCTCCCTCTCTCTCTCCCCCTCCCTCTCTCTTTCTCCCTGTGTGTGTCTCCCCCCTCTCTGTGTGTGTCTCTCCCTCTCTCTCTCTCACTCTCTCCCTCTCCCTCTCCCTCCCTCCCTCCCTCCCTCTCTCTCCCCCCTCTCTGTGTGTGTCTCTATCTCTCTCCCTCTCCCTCCCTCCCTCTCTCTCCCCCCCTCTGTGTGTGTGTGTCTCTCTCTCTCTCTCACTCTCTCCCTCTCCCTCCCTCCCTCTCTCTCCTCCCCTCTCTGTGTGTGTCTCTCTCTCTCCCTCTCCCTCCCTCCCTCTCTCTCCCCCCTCTGTTGTGTCTGTCCCTCTCTCTCACTCTCTGTCTCCCTCTCCCTCCCTCTCTGTCTCTCTCTCTCTCTCCCCCCCTCTCTGTGTGTGTGTCTCTCTCTCTCACTCTCTCCCTCTCCCTCCCTCCCTCTCCCCCCCTCTGTGTGTGTGTGTCTCTCTCTCTCCCTCTCCCTCCCTCCCTCTCTCTCCCCCCTCTCTCTGTTGTGTCTGTCCCTCTCTCTCACTCTGTCTCCCTCTCCCTCCCTCTCTCTCTCTCTCCCCCCCTCTCTCTGTGTGTGTCTCTCTCTATCTCTCCCTCTCCCTCCCTCCCTCTCTCTCCCCCCCTCTGTGTGTGTCTCTCCCTCTCTCTCTCTCTCTCACTCTCTCCCTCTCCCTCCCTCCCTCTCTCTCCCCCCTCTCTCTGTTGTG